CTCACACATTAGATTGAGCTGGGGGTTTCTTGTGGTCCCTGATGAACTGCGTGTCTCCTGATCCATGATGTGGTTGAGGATCTCCAGTTTTCTTTGCAACTCCTGTGCCTCCGTTTCTTCCAGGTCTGCAAGGAAATCCATCAGGCAAGGGGTCGTGCCCATAAGTGCTACTACTACTACATCTATATGAGCTCCTGCTCAACACAAACATACTAAATGGGGTTGGTATGCTCAAAATGTGAAGGGAAACATAAAAACTTTAATAAAATAAAGTTGAGCATGCTGATACAAATAGAAAATAAGACTATTTAATGGTTAGTTATAGTGGTTAAAACATAACAAAAATTCTTCTTTTACCAAGAAAATATTATTTTCTAGCTTACAAAATAAAAATGGCCAGTTTTCAATGCTTACAAAATTCATTTTCATTTGTTGATCACATCTAGTGTTTTGTGCATGACTACTGTACAGTATATTCTAGAGCTTACTGACCCATAGCACTATCTTTCTCAGACTAAAGGTACAATATTGCTTAACATCATTACAGCATCATCCTACTGTTTATATATTTCTATCAAGCTTTGCTCGAGTGTTCATCGCCAAATTTGTTAGTTAGAGCTAAAAGATAAACAATAGTTGGAACACTCGAGCAAAGTGCAGTTCTTAGGGGTCTTAGGGTTACCTTTCTTTTGCTCTCCTGATTGATTGGTCTCTGTGGCCCCTTTCCGACTCTGTTCAGAAAGAGGTTTCTCAGATTTTTCAACTTTAACTGGTCCATCATCACATATTTTATTAGTTTCTTCTAGTTTGAGCTTGTGAATACTTCCAGGGGGTGAAATTTTATCACCAGTACTAGAAACTGGTGAGGGAGGAGACTCTGAACCTGGTGAATGTCTTAGGTTTAGAAAAGAGAAAAATCTGGATTTCTCTCGAGGTGTGGAAGTTGAGGAGGTGCTGACAATGGGTGTGACAGTGGCACTTGTAAGCATGGTAGTGGAAGCTTCCGTGGTCCTTGAGTAAGAGAAGGTGAATCCTGATGTAGGCGACGAGATGGGTTTCTCTGAGGAAGGTGACCACCTAAGCTCTGTTATGGTCCCAGTTTCCTCACTTGCACTGTCCATAGGTGGGAGGTAAGCTTTTGTTAGGAAAGAGAATCTTGTGCGTCCAAAAGATTCTGTATTAGAAGCTTGTTCAGTGGAATCAATGGTGACTTCCTGTGTTGAAGGAACATCATGGACAGCAGTAGCTTCAGCCTGTGCAGACCTCAGGAAACTGTACGTGCTGGAAGGCAAATCACCATTGACTTCAGTGGAGTATTCTGTCTCAGCTGTCGGCGAGGTCTTAGGGGACGGTACCTCATCGGTAGCATTGGACTTAGAGAAGAAGCCACTAGATCCAGACAGAGTTAGGTAGCTACATGTAGAAGATGAATCCTCCAAGTTAGGTGATGGCTGTAGAGGGTCAAGTCCTTCACTTTCTTTCAGAAGATTTTCTTTCAGGAGTTTGATGTTGAATATACCTGAGGTGGGTGTGGCACTAGGACTGGAGGTTTCAGGGAAAGTTTTACAGGGGAGTTCCTTATCCGGAGACGACACTGATAATGAAGCAAATTTTGTAGTAACAAGTGTAACTTTTGGGCTAGTGTGGGTTGTTGCATAGGTAGAGGCACAGTTTTCAGAGTTCCAAGTAAAGGCCTTCCCATCACTGGTTGGAGATGTAAATTCTGCATGTTTTTGTGACAATGGAATGTGAAAACTAAATCTAAATGACGATCTATCCACATCTGTTTCATCTATAGTTTCACTCAGTTCAATTTTAGAATCATCACTTTTACTAAGAAATCTGGAAATGCTACTTTCAGCACCTAAATCGTCATTGCCAATGCCTGAGTCTATAGTCTCTGAGGCAGTGGCAGTAAGAAGGTTAGATTTTAAAGTTTGCATCGATGAGTCCAGACACTCATCGGAATCATCATTATTGTCATTGCCAGTTTCAATAGTCTCAAATGTGACAGTATTGAGAAGCTTAACAGTGGAGAGACTTGGGCGGGCGGCCGACATGGAGCCCATGAAGGAGGAAGATGGAGAGAGGGAGGAGGAAGGGGCAGCATCCAAGCCTCCAGCCCCAACTGTGGAGGCGGAAGCTTGGTCAGTCTCCCCTGTGCCACACAGGCCGGTGGAAAGCACTGGTTGCAGAGCTGAGGGAGAGACAACCCACACAGTGAGCCCGGGCACCACCACCCATACTACCCACACTCACTTGCTTAACACAATTACTACTGTTATGCTAACATACAATGTGCTTCACATCCAACAATCAGCACACATAACGTAGATATACCAAAGATTCGTCCCCTCCAAGGAAAACAGTTCAATGAAATTCTGCAAATTTTTATGATTAAATTAGGTAAATGAAATAATTTTCATTATGTCAATAATAGTGAGATTTGTTTAGATCAACAAGCTGGTGTTGTCACAAAATTAGAAAAAAAACTGGAAAAAATGGTTAAAAAATGCCATAACTTTAAAATAGTTAACTGATTTTAGTCGGGGTGGGGTGGAAATCTTAGGTGATCCAAAATACCTACTTTCATACCTCTGCTACATCATCTACTCAACAATTACAACTAAACCCACTGTCTACCACTCCTGTACTCTGCTACTTTTCAATGCCTACTTCTCAAATTTAATACTTTTCAGCCTCCAAAATTACCTTTGCCAGCCTTTCTTGGCTGATGTGTTCCTTACTACCACCACTTTCTACATGCATAATAACCACTACTACTAAAACAAAACAAAACAAAAAACAAAACAAATTTTATTTCTTTGCAAGATTACACTGAGAATATGAAATTACAATAATGAATTGCAGTGCAAAGAGAGCCACTATTATGCCTAGACATTATGGGCAGACTTAATTTAATGGCTTACAGACTACTTAATACTAAATAAATTGATCATAGTTTAAGTTGTATATCTGTTTTTATTTATAGGATACATTAATTGTACTCAAATTACAATAGTTTCAATAATAAATATTGAAATTTTATTATGGGAATATAACATTGTGAGTCGTTGAAAGTAGTTTACAGTATGAGAATGCTATGATTGGGTGTAAGGCAGTATTGTTTTGGGTAGATATTTTTACTACAATGTAGTATTAATCAATGTATGAATTTCGGGCATCTTGGTAACTGGGAGGTTTTTTGGTAAAGTTAAATATTGAGTACTGAGTATTTAGTTAAGGGTAAATAAGTGATTTTTGAGAAGAGTCTTAAACTGATGTTCAGACCGGGTTACTTTAGTATTTACTGGTAACGAATTCTAAATTTTGGGGCCCTTTATGTGCATAGAGTTTTTACACCGTGTGATATGGACTCTGGGTACATCAAAAAGAAATCTGTCTTGTGTTATGGTCGTGTCTCCTATTAAGGTTTGTGAGGAGAAGTTTGAGTGGAGTGTTCTATGTATGTAGTAGGTACATGGCTAAGTATGGATGTTCTTTATGTTAAGCAGTTTCAGACTTTTGAACATTGGTGGGGGTATGCTGTTGGGAGTTGGAATTTGTTATCATTCTGACTGCAGCCTTTTGCCGGGTTATTAGTGGTCTTAGGAGATTTAATGTTGTTGATCCCCACGCACAAATTCCGTATGAGAGATAAGGGTGGATGAGTGAATGATACAGTGCAAGGAGAGCTGATTGTGGAACATAGTACAGTATCTTTGATAGTATGCCTACTGTCTTAGAGATTTTCTTGGAAATTTGTTGTGTGTGTGTCTGGAATTTCAGGCTACTGTCAAGGTGGATTCCCAGGAATTTTCCCTCTGAGTTTTGTGATGGGTGACCTGTTTAGCATTATGTTAAGTGAAACATTTGCAGCTCTGTTTCAAAACTGAATGAAATTGGTTTCGTCAGTATTGAGGGTAAGCTTATTAGTTATCATCCAGGTAGATATTTTCTGCAATTTGGCATTAACAGCGTTGGCCATTATGACTGGGTTTGGGTGAGAGAAGACGTATGTTGTGTCGTCTGCAAATAATATGAGTTTGAGTAGTTGTGATGCATTCGGTAGGTCACTGATGTAAATGAGAAAGAGAAGTGGGCAAAGGACACTTCCTTGTGGGACACCGACTGTGATTGACTGAGTGGAAGAGTTTGCTCCATTTGTGTACACATATTGGCCTCTGTCACTAAGGTATGACTTTAGGTAATTGAGGGAGTGCCCTCTTATACCATAGTGTGTTAATTTAACGTGCAGCAAATCATGGTCAACTGTATCAAAAGCTTTATGTGAATCAATGAAGATTCCCAGAGGGACTTTTCTTCTCGAGTGTGTTGTATATTAGTTCTAGCATGTGTATAATAGCATCATTTGTACTTTTATTAGTCCTGAATCCAAACTGACAGGGGTTTAGTATGCTGTGTGAGACGAGGTAGGAATAGATCTATCTATGAATTAATTTTTCAAAGATTTTAAAGAGCAGAGGAAAGTTAGATATTGGTCTATAGTTATTCAAGTCCACTTGATCACCTTTGTGGATCGAGGTGACCCTCGCTATTTTGAGAATTGCTGGGAAGGTGGAGGATTTGATGAATTTGTTAAAGAGTGTTGCAATAATTGGTGACAGTATTTGTGAAGCTTTTTTGTACATAAAAGGTGGTAAGTTATTTATGTCTCCTGCTTTGTTTTTAAGAGTGTTGATGATGAGCGAGACTTCTGTTGGGTTGGCTGGGGCTAGGAATAGTGTATTCAGGTAGGAGCCAGTGAGGTAGTCTGATGGACAGGTGTTTGAGCTTGGGATTTTACTCGCTAGATTCTTTTCTATGGTGGAGAAGAAAACATCAAGTGTTTACTGTTTCAGTTGGTTAGAGTAGGGGTTCATCTAATTTTGTTAATTTGATTTTGTTTTTGAATATCTTTTTAGCTCCTAGAATTTCAGATAGGGTTTTCCAGGTCTTTTTCATATCACCTTTTATATGTATTATTATTATTATAATCAAAAAGAAGCTCTAAACCACAAGGGCTTTTTATGATATGTAATCTGTTCTCATAATACAATTTTTTTGACCTCATCAGGCTGGTAAGGATTGATGAATAATGTTTAGAATGGTCTCTATTGATTTGACCCATTCTGTACTGTTTTTCATATAGGTGCTTTGTGTTAATGGATTTAAGGATGCTGGGTGTTAGCCAGGAACTCTTAGCTGTGATCTGTTTAGTTTTTTTTAGGCCAATGCTTGTTACAGAGGTTTTTTTTTTTTTTTTTTTAGAAAATTATTAATGTACATTCATTTGAACCTATATATGTTTCAAGCTCATTATGCCAGTTGACATTATTCATAGCTGTTATAAATAATAATAATAATAATAATAATAATAATAATAATAATAATAATAATAATAATAATAATAATAATAATAATAATAATAATAATAATAATAATAATGTAGTGTTAGAGTGTTCAGCAGAAGTTTGTGGTTACAGGAAGGTGGGTGCGGGAGGGAAGAGGAGCGATTGGTGGAATGATGATGTAAAGAGAGTAGTAAGGGAGAAAAAGTTAGCATATGAGAAGTTTTTACAAAGTAGAAGTGATGCAAGGAGGGAAGAGTATATGGAGAAAAAGAGAGAGGTTAAGAGAGTGGTGAAGCAATGTAAAAAGAGAGCAAATGAGAGAGTGGGTGAGATGTTATCAGCAAAATTTTGTTGAAAATAAGAAAAAGTTTTGGAGTGAGATTAACAAGTTAAGAAAGCCTAGAGAACAAATGGATTTGTCAGTTAAAAATAGGAGGCGAGTTATTAAATGGAGAGTTAGAGGTATTGGGAAGATGGAGGGAATATTTTGAGGAATTATTAAATGTTGATGAAGATAGGGAAGCTGTGATTTCGTGTATAGGACAAGGAGGAATAACATCTTGTAGGAGTGAGGAAGAGCCAGTTGTGAGTGTGGGGGAAGTTCGTGAGGCAGTAGGTAAAATGAAAGGGGGTAAGGCAGCCGGGATTGATGGGATAAAGATAGAAATGTTAAAAGCAGGTGGGGATATAGTTTTGGAGTGGTTGGTGCAATTATTTAATAAATGTATGGAAGAGGGTAAGGTACCTAGGGATTGGCAGAGAGCATGCATAGTTCCTTTGTATAAAGGCAAAGGGGATAAAAGAGAGTGCAAAAATTATAGGGGGATAAGTCTGCTGAGTATACCTGGTAAAGTGTATAGTAGAGTTATTATTGAAAGAATTAAGAGTAAGACGGAGAATAGGATAGCAGATGAACAAGGAGGCTTTAGGAAAGGTAGGGGGTGTGTGGACCAGGTGTTTACAGTGAAACATGTAAGTGAACACTATTTAGATAAGGCTAAAGAGGTCTTTGTGGCATTTATGGATTTGGAAAAGGCATATGACAGGGTGGATAGGGGGGCAATGTGGCAGATGTTGCAAGTGTATGGTGTAGGAGGTAGGTTACTGAAAGCAGTAAAGAGCTTTTACGAGGATAGTGAGGCTCAAGTTAGAGTATGTAGGAAAGAGGGAAATTATTTCCCAGTAAAAGTAGGCCTTAGACAAGGATGTGTGATGTCACCGTGGTTGTTTAATATATTTATAGATGGGGTTGTAAGAGAAGTAAATGCGAGGGTCTTGGCAAGAGGCGTGGAGTTAACAGATAAAGAATCACACACCAAGTGGGAGTTGTCACAGCTGCTCTTTGCTGATGACACTGTGCTCTTGGGAGATTCTGAAGAGAAGTTGCAGAGATTGGTGGATGAATTTGGTAGGGTGTGCAAAAGAAGAAAATTAAAGGTGAATACAGGAAAGAGTAAGGTTATGAGGATAACAAAAAGATTAGGTGATGAAAGATTGAATATCAGATTGGAGGGAGAGAGTATGGAGGAGGTGAATGTATTCAGATATTTGGGAGTGGACGTGTCAGCGGATGGGTCTATGAAAGATGAGGTGAATCATACAATTGATGAGGGGAAAAGAGTGAGTGGTGCACTTAGGAGTCTGTGGAGACAAAGAACTTTGTCCTTGGAGGCAAAGAGGGGAATGTATGAGAGTATAGTTTTACCAATGCTCTTATATGGGTGTGAAGCATGGGTGATGAATGTTGCAGCGAGAAGAAGGCTGGAGGCAGTGGAGATGTCATGTCTGAGGGCAATGTGTGGTGTGAATATAATGCAGAGAATTCGTAGTTTGGAAGTTAGGA